TGTGTGTGTGTGTGTGTGTGTGTTTCTGTGTGTGTGTGTTTCTGTGTGCGTGTTTGTATTGCAAGGGAAATGGCGTAGTAACTACAGTTCACCGAGTAGATACCATCAGCCTTCAGTACCATTGAAATTGTGAAAATGAATAATTTCTGGTTTTTGTAGACATTACGTGCTTCAAAAATGTTTCAAACGTACTAATTAATGATCTATGTTCAGGTTACTGAGTAGACGTTTTCTCCTGTTAAATACCTATTATTATTTTGTTCCTACTTTTTCAGTAGAGAACGTGCTATAATAAAAAACATTGCACAAAGAAATCGCTTTTCAAAATTATATATATATATATGTGTATATGTGCGTGTGTGTGATCGCCGCCGCTTTAATGTTGAGTATGACCATTGCAATGAATTATTCTGATATATACATAACAGCTTACAACAACATAATAATTACAGCCACATCTAAAAGTATTATGATCAGTGGATAAAATATCTATAACTGCTCCTTACAATAACTTGAAAAAACCTACAGAAATATAAAAAAAAACATTAATAAGTACAAAAATGATCTTCCACCCAGCCAAGTTTTAGTCATATATAGAAATAAATTCAACCACAGTTTTCATCTAAATAATGCCATACTTATTAAAAAAGAAACTAATTTACATCGATAGAAATTTCTATGGAATCTTATCAAAATGTAAATCTGTGTCTCAGATTTTTTTCAAATATCTCCTTTCCTGAGAGAAGTACTTCTTTCCCATGAACAAAGCTATAAAAATGTTCAAAATTAAAAGATAACATTTAAAGTCACAACATTCAAGTATTTAAAATATACAATACATAAATTAGTCCCAAACTAAAATAATAAAAATATTAATTAGATTATTTTAAAAAAAAGATTTACTCACTTTTGCTTATTACATATCAAATTATGTCACTTAGCATCCTCCATAAATTACCCAGGTATTTCAGTTAGTCTTATGTATATTTATAAGCGTTCTTAAATTTAAAAACTAACGAAATTTTTGCATTTGTATATAAATCACTCAGTTATTTGCCATGCGTGATACACGCTTAGGCGATCATGTATCTTTCGATAACGAGGCAGATTTTTCCCGCAATAGATTGCCATTTTGTTCTGAGGTAGACCAGTTGCCATCCAAAGTTAGAGAACCCGGTCTGCCTTCTAGTTACCCATAGTTTAGAAGTGTATTAGTACATAAGTGAATGGATTTGAGTGGAATTCGAACTCGGCTCTTCGAGTCCTCAACCCGAGCCGCTATCAATTACTCCACCGTGTACATAAATACTTGTCACAAAATAAAATCCTTACATTTGGCTTCATAAAGTCCATCAAAGGACAAAACACGTCGGCTAAGTTTTCCTTTTCTCTTTATTCAAATATATAGAGATTGGGGGAGAGGGAAGAGTTGAAGAGAGGAAAGAGGGGAGTCACGAGAGATGGGGAGAGACACAATATGACATTGTTCACAAATCTAATAATCAAACAGAAAAAGAGATGAAGCGACAAAGATTGATTCAACTGCCTCCTTCTTCGCACGTTTACTGTAAACCTAGGTTTATTAAGAGGTACTTCCGGAATTTTTGCATCAATCTTTGCATCAAAGGTTATGTGAATGCCAATTTAGGATGGAATCATATGATGTAATTATTAGCTAACTGGAAAAAGGCGATTTTAGACCTAGTTTAACCCTTAACTGAAAAAAAAAGCCAAACATTCACGCAAGACAATTTGTATGTGATATGTAATTTACATGGTAAATTTGGAAAATATCGAATAAAAAAGAGTTGTTCATGTTTTTTTTTATACGCCGGCAAGCGGGCTGAACTAAACCCACGCTATCTTATTTGTTGTATGATGGCAATTTTTGCGACATGTTTGGTGAAAATCGAATAAAAAATGAAGTTATTCAAGTTTTTATTTTAAGTAGTACGAAAAACACGATTTTTTCACGGTTTTTTGCAATTTATTTTTCTGTGTGGCCAGTGTCGCAGGAAAACTATCAAGCACTCTATAGAAACCTCGTAGCATGAGATATGTTTTGCATTAAGTACAAAGAACGTCAGCTCAACCAGTTTTATAGATATAGATACTAGCTTGATTGACAATGTTTTTTCGTATTTCAAATAGTTCAAATAAATTACATATGAGAGTTTATTCATCAAAATATCTCCCATCAAAATTATTTGTTGCCATTGTCGTACCAGAAGCTCAATTCTACGTTTATACCATTTGGCTGGTTTAGAGGGGAAAGAAAAACATCCTGCACCATATCCACATTGTTGAACCTCCGTCCGCGAAGTAAATAATCCGTTTCGCGAAAGGTGCAAGGTCTGGACTGTAGGCAGGATGAAGGAGTATTTGCAGCCCTCAACTTCATCAATTTTACATTTGGTCATATTGGCAGTGGGTGCTGGGCTATTGGCATACTGCTGTAGGGCGCGCCTTCGATTCGAGTAGGATTTTACAGCAGAAATTCGAACATGTTTTGCCAAAATCATTTTCAAGGTCTGGCATTAGATCACCCACCTTCTTCTGTCTCTCTGTATTTATCTCTCTCTCCCCCACTCTCTCTCTCACACACACACACACACACACACACACACACACATATATATATATAATTTTAAATCTCCCATCGCTTAGTAGTGCAAAAACCATTTACTATGTATCCCAGAAAAACACACTCCGGGGCCGTTAGAAGAAACAGCACATAGTAGGAACTGATATTAAACTACAAACAAAGATCCTGGCCATAAATAAACTCCAGACCCAGACCGCTTCCCCCGGGATAAGATAGCTTACGCCCCCACCAATTGCTAACGCAGACCTACTTTCATTAACAAGGCGCTGACTAGAGGAAGATTGACTTTGAAAATAAATTTAAAACAATGCTCCGAAACAAGCACTTAGAGACTGACGATAACCGATTGATGATGAACGGTTTGAAATAGACTATCGCTATGTTGAGGAAATTTTGGGTTTTCTGTTGTATATATATATATATATATATATATATATATATATATATATATATATATATATATATATAATATATATATATATATATATATATATATATATATATATATATATATATATATATATATATATAATAAAAACTTAACACTAATATTCCATGATTATTACATTGGAATCGTAATTACGATCCAATTCATCAGACCTTTTTTAGATCTGATGAATTGGATTGTATTTACGATTCCAATGGAATAAATTATGACCATGGAATATTAGTGTTTAAGCCTTTTTATTATATACTTACTCTGTCCTGGACATTGAGTTCTACGTGGATTCTATCCTCTTGGAAATTTGTACATATACAGGGGTTGGACAAAATAATTAGAACACTTGTTAAATTCAAAGAAAATTTATTTAATATGGAGTTGGTCCTTCTTTAGTCTCACAGACAGCTTTAATACGTCTAGGAATGGAATCCTACAGCTTCCTGACTTCATCCAGAGGAATTTTCAGTCATTATTTCATTAAAACCTTCTCCAGCTCTTTACGACACGACGGTGGAGGATAGCGGCTCCTAACTTGTTGCTTCAAAATGCACCACAAATGTTCAATAATATTGATATCTTGAGATTGGGGAAGAGGCCACTCCATGTGTTCTAGCTCACTTTCATGCTCGTCGTACCAATTCTTAACCACTCGAGCGGTATGTATTGCGGCATTATCGTCTTGAAAGATGCAGTCACTATCAGGGAATAAAGTGTTGGCCATTGGATAAACATGATCTCTCAAAATGTTCAGGTAATCTTTGCTGTTGATTCTACCATGCAGGGCAACTATTGGACTGAGACATTTCCATGATATGACGGCCCAAACTATCACTGATCCACCTCCATGCTTCACTGTTGGAAGAAGGCAGTCAGAGTTGTAAGCTTCTTTGGACTGCCTCCACACATAAACTCGCCCTGAATTTGGGAAAAGAGAAAAACTGGACTTGTTTAAGAATATGACTTGCTTCCATTGGTCTGCAGACCAGGAATTGTGATCTCTGCACCACTTCAACCTCTCTTGAATGTTGCGAGTGGAGAGAAGAGGTTTCCTCACAGTGGCTCTTCCATGATATACAGCCTTATGGAGTTCACGGTGAACAGTTTTAGTAGAAACTGTACTATTCAGATGGTTATTCAACACAGCAGCCACTTTGGCCACATTTGTCCGATGATATTTTGCCACATTGCCTTTCAATGCAGGTCAGTCCCTGTCACTAAGTTTACAAGTCCGGCCCTAATTGCTACGGTTGCTAGAGGTCTTGCCCTGTTTCTCGAATTGCATCAGTGTTCTTGATATGGTAGCTCTTGAAAAACCAAACAGTTCATCAACCTTAGTGATCGAGCTCCAACAATTTGCTCTTTTTCGAACTCTGAGAGGTCACGCATTTAGCTTAAATTTTACTAAATTCTAAAAATAGATAAGACAAAGACAGTAAATTAGATAAATAAACGTATTTACAATAGATATAACCTGCAATTACAAAGTTTTAGTTAAAGTTCTTAATATAATAGGTCTTTGATTTATAGGAGTGGAATTTGCACCTGTTTCAATTATTTTGTCCAACCCCTGTATATGTGCATGTATGTATGTATATATATATATCTATATATATATATATATATATATATATATATATATATGTATGTATGTATATGTATATGTGTATATATATTAACCACTAATATTATATATATATATATATATATATATATATATATATATACACGCATACGCACATACCTACATAAAGAGAGAGACACACATATAGACATGTGTGTGTGTGTGTGTGTGTGTGTGTGTGTGTGTGTGTGTGTGTGTGTGTGTGTGTGTGTGTGTGTGCTCGTGCACACATTAAATCTGCAGAATTCAAAGGCGGGCCATTTTCTATTCTGTGTCCACGGAGTTAACTCTGAGACATTGCGAAATAAAAATAATCTAACACCTCCAGAAAT